AATACATACAAAACAATGGGGGTTTAAATTAGCTGTTACCACTCAAGAAAAGATCTTGGAGTCATCATGGATAATTCCCTGAAAACATCCACTGTATGTGCAGCAGTCAAAAAAGCTAACAGAATGTTAGGAACCATTAGGAAAGGGATAGATAATAAGACAGAAAATATCATGATGCCACTATATAAATCCATGGTATGCCACTCCTTGAATACTGTGTGCGGTTCTTGTTGCCTCATCTCAAAAAAGATGTATTAGAATGGGAAAAAGTGCTGAGAAGGGCAACAAAAATTATTAGGGGTCTGGGACAGCTTCCATATGAGGAGAGATTAAAAAGACTGAGATTGTTCAGTTTAGAAATGAGATGACTAAGGGGGGATATGAGAGAGGTCTATAAAATCCTGAATGGTGTGGAGAAAGTGAATAGGGAATGTTATTTACCCCTTCACCTAACACAGGAGCTAGGTGTCACCTGATAAAATTAATAAACAGCAGGCTTAAAATGAACAAAAGGAGTACAATGCACAGTCAAGCTGTGGAACTTGTTGCTATGGGATATTGTGAAGGCCAAAAATATAACTGGGTTCAAAAAAGAATTAGGTGAGTTCATGGAGGATAGTTCCATCAATAGCTATTAGCCAAGATGGTCAGCAACACAACCACATGCTCTGTGTGTCTCTAAACCTCCAACTGCAAGAAACTGGGATAGGACAACAGGTGATGGATCACTTGAAATCGCCCTGTTCTATTCTTTCCCTCTGAAGCATCAGGCACTGGCCACTGCCAGAATACAGGTGTAATGATGCTGCCTCTGGCAGGACACAACTAAGAGTATCAATTCAGGACAAATTGCTTAGAGCAGGGCAGGCACAGCCCAAAAGCTGGAGTTCCTTTATTACTAAGGCACTACTAACTCCTGAGTTTCACTTACATCCAGAATCACCTCTGGCCCATCAGGCGGATTCCTACCTAATCCCCCTTTAGGCAAACTCCCCCCCCTCCCTTGTCCCAGCACACACGGCTGGTTACAGACAAATACTGGAAGAGTGGGGCAGCTTTTTTACTAGGCACATTGCCACTCCAAACAGATAAACTGCTGCTCTTCTCACTACACCGAGCTACTTCCAGCAAATCACAATTACCCTGGGACTTTTCAGCTTGGAAAAGAGACGACTAAGGGGGGATATGATAGAGGTCTATAAAATCATGACTGCTGTGGAGAAAGTAAATAAGGAAGTGTTATTTATTCCTTCTCATAACTAAAGGCTAGGGGGTCACCAAATGAAATTAATAGGCAACAGGTTTAAAAGAAACAAAAGTAAGTATTTCTTCGCACAATGCACAGTCAACCCTAACGTTCAGTCTTCTCTGGTCTTGAATAACTTAAATAACTTTATTTCATCTGCAGATTTTGCCACCTCTTTTCTTATTTTATTCCCAGATCATGAATATGTACAGTAACTCCTCACTTAAAGTCATCCCAGTTAACGTTGTTTCGTTGCTGATCAATTAGAGAACATGCTCGTTTAAAGTTGTGCAATGCTCCCTTCTAACATCGTTTGGCAGCCACCTGCTTTGTCCATTGCTTGCAGGAAGAGCAGCCCGTTGAAGCTAGCTGGTGGGGGCTTGGAACCAGGTGTCATGGAGTCCCCAGGCAATGCTCTGGAACTGCTCCCTATGAAGCCAGTCAGGACTCTGGTGAAGTTTCCTCTCTGTGAGCAGACTGTCTCCAGGGCAAGAAGCTCACACGGCTTCCACCTTCCTAGGTCTGACCTTGGAGCATTCAGCATCCTCTGCCCCTCTGTGCGCTTCCCACAGCGAGTCCACCCAGGCGGGGTCCTGGGGAAGCCAGAGGGTCCCGCACCCCCCACTTTGCAGTCAAACGTGACTCTTAGCCAGCCAGTAAAACAGAGGTTTATTAGATGACAAGAACACAGTCTAAAACAGAGCTTGTAGGTACAGAGAACGGGACCCCTCAGCCGGGTCCATTGGGGGGAGGGGGGGGAACGTGAGCCAGACAGCCACATCTGCACTCACTCCACATCCCCAGCCAGCTCCAAACTGAAACTCTCCAGCCCCTCCTCTCTGGCCTTTGTCTCTTTCCCGGGAGGTCACCTAATCTCTTTGTTCTCCAACACCTTTAGCTATCCCCTTGCAGGTGGGAAGGGTCCCGGCCATTAGTTGCCAGGAGACAGAGTGTCGGCCATTTATGCACCTCTGCCTTTATCCCACCACCTAGAGACTTAAGAAATGCATAGGGGAAACTGAGGCACCCCTACTGTATTCAGAGGAAACATTAAGAACAGTCCCACTTCATCACACCAGGGTGGACCGGCAGCCCCCCTATCAGCTCCCCATTCCTCTAAGTTCCCTGTGCAGCAGCTGCCCAGCAGGCTATCAGTTGCTGGGCAGTTCAGCTGTCCCTCCCCCCACTGCCATGTGCTGCTCCTGCCCCTGCCCTGGAGCCTCCTACTTGCTGTGCGGGGGGAGGGGGGAGGAGGAAGAGGGGTGCTAATGTCAGGGTGTCCCCCTCTCCCCTGCTCCTGCCCTCTGCTTACCCCATCTCCATAGAGCGGGTGGGGGGTACACGACAGGGCTCAGGACGGAGGGAGCTTGCCGGCAGCAGCTGCTGTCTCAACTTCCTGATCTACTTAAAAAGGCAATGTACTTAGAGTGGGGTTAGCATACTTAAAGGGTCAATGCACATCTCTCTCTCTCTCACACACGGTGTGTCTCTCTGTCTGCCATGCTGTCTCCCCTCCCTCCATTCATGCTGCCTTGTAGGGTGTGAGGCTACATTAATAACAATGGGTTAACCCTTGAGGGCTCAGCCGATTGCTAATTCACTGGGGGAGAGATAGTGCATTGGCTTGCTAAACCCAGGGTTGTGAGTTCAATCCTTGAGGGGGGCCACTTAGGGATCTGGGGCAAAATCAGAACTTGGTCCTGCTAGTGATGGCAGGGGGCTGGACTTGATGACCCAAGGTCCCTTCCAGTTCTAGGAGATAGGATATCTTTATTTATTTATCATTTAGCGGTAAGGCATTCCCTGGGAAATATCCCACCCTCTCACTTCACCACCTCAACCAAGCTTCACAATCATCATCGCTGTGTACCAGTATTAAATTGTTTGTTTAAAACGTAAGCTGTGTGTATATATATATATAATATAGTCTTTTGTCTGGTGAAAAAAATTTCCCTGGAACCTAACCCCCCCACCTTTATATTAATTCTTATGGGGAAATTGGATACGCTTAACAGCGTTTCGCTTAAAGTCGCATTTTTCAGGAACATAACTACAACGTTAAGCGAGGAGTTACTGTATATTAAACAATACCAATCCTGATGTGAAACCTTGTGCACCCACTTTTAACCTTTTGCCTTGATGAAAATTGACCAGTTATTCAGTCTCTGGTTTTTGCCTCTTTGCAGTTTCCAATCCAGCCCATGTTTCCTAAATTTCTTTAGTAACCTCTTGTGAGGCTACCAAATTAATGTGATTAAAACATTCCACATCATACCAACTTATAGTTTGTCTGCCTGTCAGCCTCTCTATATGTAGATACAAAAGCATAGATTTTTATCTACTCTGTCTTTTGAGGAAAAGATTTGCCCTACACTTAGGAGCATAACATAAAAAAACTAGAACAATATAAAATTAACATGGTAAATGTTACATCAATTAAAAACTGGCTAACTGGTAATTGTAAATCGGAAGTCGTCATTGACTGGATGTGTTTCTAGTGGAGTCCTGCAGGGATTGGTTCTTGGCCCTATGTTGTTTAACTTTTTTATCAGTGATGTGGAAGAAAACATAAAATTGTCACTGGTAAGGTTTGCAGATGACACAAAAATTGAGGGAGTGGTAAATAATGAAGAGGAGAGGTCCCCAATACAGAGTGATCTGGATTACTTGGTAAGCTGGGCACAAGCAAACAGTATGTGTTTTAATATGGCTAAGTGCAAATGTATACCTTTAGGAATAAAGAATGTAAGCCATACTTAGAGTATGGGGGATTCTATTCTGGGAAGCAGTGACTCTGGAAAAGATTTGGGAGTCGTGGTGGACTATCAGCTGAACAGGCGCTCCCAAAGCGATGCTGTGGCCAAAAGAGCAAATACAATCCTTGGATATATAAACAAGGGAATCTCACGTAGGAGTAGAGAAGTTATTTTACCTCTGTATTTGCCATTGGTGCAACTGCTGCTGGAATATTGTGTCCCGTTCTGGTGTCCACAATTCAAGAAGGAGGTTGATAAATTGGAGAGGGTTCAGAGAAGAGCCATGAGAATGATAAAGAATTAGAAAACATGCCTTATAGTGACAGACTCAAGAAGAGCCATCTCTTTAGCTTAACAAGACAAGGTTAAGGGTGATTTAACTACAGTCTATAAGTACCTGCATGGGGAACAAATATTGGATCTTGGGCTCCACAGTCTAGAAGAGAAAGGTCTAACACTTGCCAATGGCTGGAAGTTGAAGCTAGACAAATTCAGACTGGCAATATTTTTAACAGTGAATGTAATTAAACACTGGAACAATTTACCAATAGTCATGGTTGATTCTCTATCATTGACAATTTTAAATCAAGATTAGATGTTTTTCTAAATATATCTGCTCTAGGAATTATTTTTGGGAAGTTCTGTGGTCTGTGTTAAATAGGAGACAGACCTGATGATCACAGTGGCCCTTTCTGGCCTTGGAATTTATGAGTCTATGAGCAGCATGGAGGTCTATATGTGACATCTACACATAGATCTGTACACAATGCTGTACATGAAACCTGCAGTCAGGCAGAGTTCTATGCCTTCAGCAGATTTTGGTTCATCCTCTGGTATCTGTTGTACCTTGTGTGAGATTCCCTAGCAGAGCTAGGGAAGCATCCAACAGAGATTGTAACCTTCAGTGAACTCGCCGGCAAGTTACAATCACCTTCAGGCAGGCAGTGGAGATTGTAATTTATATTGGGCACCTCACAGAAGTTGTAGTCTCTTTTCAGACACTCCTTGGAGATGATCGCTTCAACAGGGGACCTCGTGCAAGTGCAAAAGTTAAGAATGTAAGCATTGTGAACTACAGTTAGTTTTTTAAACCGAGTTGGTTCATTTCTAGGAATGTTGCTTATTTAATCAAACTTATGAGCTCCACTGGTTATTGTGAATCTGATGCCTGAAGAACTCAGAGATAGAAACAGCTACTGTTCATACGGTTGCAAGATCTGTTTTCCCAGTGTATATGTGAGACTCATGTTCTAGTATAGTCTGTTCCATTCTGCATAGGTTCTTATGCTGCTTTCATTACCATAGTATCTGAGAGCCTTCATCCGAGAGCCTTCTTTCTCTTTTTCATTCTCTCTCCAGGGGGAAAATTGAGAGTGCACTATAGTGTTTTGTTTTGGTAGGTTTTATTTTTTTTTAAATGTATGTGCTGCTATACGTGTATATTATTGAAAGGAGGTCAAATAAGTATCTTGAACTTGAAGTGGAAGATGATAGTTCTTAGTTCTATGGAGTTCACCGTCTTGAACCAGTCCCCAAGAAAGTTCTATCTCCTGAACATGATGAACATTACTCTTGCGGTGGGCAGTTCCAGTGTGCCTGAGGAACAGATATATTGATCTTGGTCTTCATCCTGGAGCTTCAAGTGATCTTTTCACTATCGTGGGCCCAGGCTCCTGAGCCCCTTTGTGATAAAGATCGAGACTGTGACTTGATATTCTGTGGGAAGCTAGAGTACAGAGAGAACAGGTGTGATGTGCTTGGGGTGCTCTGTGTTCCTGAGATGTGCTGTTGCAATCTGTGCTAGCTGGCACTTCCTAATAGCGGATGGCGTCATGCCCAGGTATATTGCATTGCTGTAGTCCAACCAGAAGGTGACAAAAGTGTCTATAACTGAGGCGAAGTCATCATCTGCCAGGATGAGATGGAGTCTCCTAATGAACCAGAGATGTAGAAAGCAAAGTTCACAGATGTTGCTGCAAGGAATACAAAAGTGCACATGAGCTGTGAAATGAATTGGCCAACTGTGAGTGTGAACCATCAACCAAAGGAAACAGCACTATGGTTGCAAAGTGCTTATTTTGCTAACCAGCATTACCTTTGTCTTGCTGGGGTTTAGATTCAGCCAGATGTTCTTCATCTGAAAGCTGATTTGTCCAAGCTCTAGGCCATCTTTGTTGTAAAGGTGTAGTTGTATGTGGTGAAGGATAAGTAGAGCTGTATGTCATCCGCATATTACAGCATTTGAATCATTGTTGTCTCACCAGGTTTCCTTTTGGCTTCATCTAGATGTTGAATAGGATCAGAGACAGAACTGGTCCCAATGGGACTCCATAAGTTGGGCATCTAGTTGCAGTTTTCCATAACTACCCTCTGCATGCGTCCATCCAGGAATGACTCAAATCATTTTAGCACATTCTCCTGGACCCCTGCCACCTCTTTGAGGCAGGACAACAGTATCTGACAGTATCAAATGCTGCAGAGAGATCCAGTAAGAGGAGGATGACTGTCTGCCTTTACCTGTTGACAGCAGCATATCCTCTATCAGTGCTACTAATATGCTTTTTCTGTCCCATATCCTTGCCTGAATCCAGATTATGTCAGGTATAGGTTGCTGGCTTTGGTTAGATGAGTTCTAGTCAGCCTTTGGCTAGCTTCTCTGTGAGTTTGAAAGTTTAATAGTGAGCAGTATTTGGCTAGAACCATTGTATCCAGGATAGACTTATTCAGTGTTCATCAGACTATTATATATTTGAAGGAGGAAAGGAAGATTCCTCCTTGAATAGGCATTGATTGTTTTGGTCAAGAGTGGAACAACTTACTCATGACTCACTTGCACTAGCCAGGAAGAGGAGGGGTCAGATTCACACCAATACTTCTTGTGAAGTGAATGGGCTGGATTCTGAGAAAACAGATGGGCTGTTGGTTGGTTGGCAGAGGGGAATCAGATCCCTGCAAGCCAAAGAAACTTTCCTGAATGTGCGTGATCATTTCAGTGAAGTAAGAGGATAGTTCTTCACAGTGCTGGGTTCTGCTGTGGGCTGCAGACATCATGGTTAATGAAGCAGTTTACCACCTCAAATAGTTTCTTGAGTGGTATTTGAAGTGGAGGCTTATAGGAAGGTTCATTTGGCCTGTAATACAGCTTAATGTGAGCTTGGAGGAATTCTTTGTCTTTCAATCTGTCTCTTCCAGCCTTCGTTTTCTGCTGTCGGTGCTTGAGTTTTTGTCCCTCTGTCTTCATCCAGCACAGGGTTTCAGAAAACCAAGATCTGTGTGGCTGACGAGGAAGGAAGTGCCTCTGCGGGGGCCATCATGGTGAAGGTCAAGGCTCAAGTATGAGAATAATGATTTCTCAGATCCTCAACATCTTAGCCTGTTAGTGGAGTGGTGCAATCCTTTAGCATGTTTTGGAATTTGATACGGTCCATGAGTCTACATGGATTAATCAAATTCATGGGTCTTTCTTGTTGCATTGGAGTTGGGAGATCTCTGATCAATGTTCTTACTGAAGTGATGGTCCTTTCTGAGACAATGGCTTGTTTTGCGATGTCCTCTGTATGAACATCTGATTTGAAGAACAGCTCACAGATGTGAGTTACACATTCTGCTGGTTTCTCCAGGTACCGTTGAGTCCACCAGTTGTTATTATTTGTGTAGCAGTAACCACATGCTCACATGCATACAAATAGACTGTCCTGGCCCAGGGTAGCAGCCTTTGGGTATGTCTACACTACAGTAAAACACCCATGGCCAGCCTGTATCAGCTGACTTGGACTTGTGGGGCTCGGGCTGCGGGGCTGTACAATTGCAGTGTAGATGTGGACTTGGGCTGGAGCCCAGGTTCTGGGGCCCCATGAGTGGGGAGGGTCCCAGAGCCTGAGCTTCAGCCTGAGCCTGAACCTCTACAAAGATGTTTGATAGCCCTGCAGCTTGAGCCCCATGAACCTGAGTCAGCTGGTATGGGGCCAGCTGCATGTATTTTTTTGCAGCGTAGACAGACTATTTGAGTCCACCATGTTACACCTGAAGAGTTTACAAGCTAAAAGCAAGATACATAGAATGCAGGACACACTAGGAAATCCATAGGTAGGCATAATTTAGCATTGTTATTCATAATTATTATATGATTCTTCCTTGTGGCACAATAGGAGACAAGTTCTGATACGTAGGGTGCAGCTGACTTGTACAAGAACATGAAGGAAGTATGAGAAGCTTAAAATTGATGTGTTAGGCAAGGGGGGAGCCAGTGGAGAGTTGCAAGGGGAGGTGTGATGTAGTCTAGTTGACAGGGATGAAAGATAATTTTACCTGTCTCATTTTGAATGGACTAGAGGAAACAATGTAGATATCATGGATGGCCAGGGTGGAGGAGCTAGCAGTAAAGATTCATAGATTCTAGGACTGGAAGGGACCTCGAGAGGTCATCGAG